TGGCTCAAAGTGGTAGAGTGCTAGCCGTGAGCAAAAGCGCTCAGTGATAGTGCCCAGACCTGAGTTCAAGCCCCAGGATGGGCACAAAAAGAAAAAAAAGTATGGACTAGGAAGGTGGCTCAGTGGTAGAGTGCTTGCCTAGCATGCATGAAGCCCGGGGTTTTATTCCCCAGTACCACATACACAGGAGCGGCTGGAAATGGCACTGTGGCTCAAGAGGTGGAATGCTGGCTTTGAGCAAAAGAAACTCAGGGACAGCGCCCAGGACTTGAGTTCAAGCCCCAGGACTAGCAAAAAAAAAAGAAAAAGGAATTTTTAAAAAACTAACAAAACAAAAAGAGGTGTGAATTACATTTCACATGCACCTGTCCGCCCTGGGCTGTATTGCACACACATGGTTTGGAGTCACCTGTCCTCCTGTGCTGTTTGCTCTCCTGGAGTGTGGCCACAGACTCTGGAGTTGTTTCCGCTGTGTCTGATCTGATGGCCGCACCAGTCCTCCCTGAGTCCAGACCTGGCCCCGGGAGAAATTGTGACATAGCAGATGCCCTACCCCGGGGCCAGGCACAGCCAGCAAGTGGCAGAGCCAAGCGTGCCCCTGTCCCTGCACGGGCCCCTGTCCCTGTCCCTGCCCCTGCATGGGCCCTGTCCCTGTCCATGCCCCTGCACAGGCCCCTGTCCCTGCGCGGGCCCCTGTCCCTGTCCCTGCCCCTGCATGGGCCCTGTCCCTGTCCATGCCCCTGCACAGGCCCCTGCCCCTGCCTCTGTCCCTGCCCCTGTCCCTGTCCCTGTCCCTGTACAGGCTCAGGCCCCTGTGTCATCTTTTGCCTCAGTCCTTCCTGGGGGCAGGGCTCGGCCTGGTGCAGGGCGGAGGTGTTAAACCTTGAGCTTTTGAGTGGCTCGAGTGGCGAACATTGATTTTCGCGGTGTGTGTGGGTCCCGGGTGGGAGCCTCTGGCTGGGCGCGTTGGCCAGGCTGTGGCACCTCTGGAGGGTGGAGGGGGGTCTGCGCTTGAGGCTGGTCCTGGGTGTGGGCCATCAGAGGTGAGGTGTAGCAAGGTTGAACTCTGGCTCTAGAAAGCTCAGCCTGAGGGCGGTGCCAGACAGCAGCTCCATGCCAGTGACCGAGCAGTCTCCATGCAGGTGACCCAGGCAGGGGCCCCAGCCCTCCAGCTGTCCTGGGGAGCAGGGGGCTGCGACACAGTCTGTGATGACCCTGCCCCAGCTGGCTGTCCCGGGACCCTCCTGAGCCTGCCTGGGGCTGCTCTCCTGCTCCGTCCTGGTCCTCAGATGTTCCCTGGGCTGGGAACACCTGCCGAGGGTGTGGGCGGTGGGATCTGAGCCGGGCCTGGCAGCTGAGAGCTCTGCTGTTGCCTTATATGCAGGGTGAGGGCTGGGCCTGGCTTAGACTCATGCGGGACTGTCAAGTTGACATAACCAGGGGGTGACCCGGCCTCAGTACTGGTGACGGGCGCTGCTGTGGGGCTGGGCACCGACCGGGCCGGCCCCTCGCGCCAGCTCTGGCACACTGGCCCTTCTGCCTTGCACTGGTGACCAGATGGGGCAGCCCAGGGCAGCCTCAGGTTCAGGGAGCACGGGCTGGGGACGAGGCTGCGGCAGGACGGAGCCAGGGCAGCCCCGGCGCCGCTCCGGGAAGAAGGGCTCTTTGGAGGAAGCGCTCCACCAGTCTGCACCCCAATCCGTCCCGTCCAGCTGCACGGGCACGCTGTCTTCTCAACTTCCGCTAGATGGCGGCAGTGGCCAGGGCGGGACCCAGGCAGAGACTGGACAGTGTCATGTCCCTTGACCTTTAGGAGGCGAGCCTGACTAGAAAAGGGGAAACAGAGGCGGCAGTGGGGAGAGGGGAACTTGCACAAGACCATCAGAGAGCCTGTGGGCTCTGGGGCGTGGGTACACATGGGTTCACAGTGCAGGTGTGTGTGTGCAGGGGGGAGGGTTTGCACCTGGCCCATGAGGACACCTTGAAGCCTGGCCTCCCCGCCCGGTGTCTGCATAGCCAGACGGGACCCAGAAGTGAGGAGGCTGCTTCCTGTCTGAACTTGTGCAGAAACACCTGAATTCAACTCCCAACCGTGTCCATCTAGCTTTTCCCCTCTAAAGTGTGTGTGTGTGTGTGTGTGTGTGCGCACGTGTGCCAATTCTGAGGCTTGAACTCAGGTCTGGGTGTTGTCTCTGAGCTTTGTGCTCCAGACTAGTGGTCTACCGCTTGAGCCACAGCTCCACTTCTGGCTTGTTGGTGGTTCACTGGGGATAAGAGTCTCAGGGAGGGCTGGGGATGTGGCTTCATAGTACAGCGCTTGCCTCACATGCATGAAGCCCTGGGTTCAATTCCTCAGTACCACATCAACAAAAAAGCTCAAAGTGGTGCTGTGGCTCAAGTGGTAGAGTGCTAACCTTGAGCAAAAAGAAGCTCAGGGACAGGCTCTGAGTTCAAGCCTCGGGACTGACCAAAAAAAGAAAAAAAGGTCTCACGGACTTTCCTGCCCAGACTACAATCTTCAGACTGCACTGCAGTCTTCAGATCTCAGCCTCCGGCGTAGCTGGGATGCAGATGTTGGCAGCAGGACGAATGCCCCTCACACAGGCACTGCCATTCATCATCTGGCAAAACACAAAACTGCCCAAGGAGAAAGAGCCCAAAGCTCAGGGCAGACCGCTGGCCAGCAGCGGGACTGGCTTGTTCCTCCTCTGCAGGGACAGAGACTGAGCTAAGGGTCAGCCAGGCCGCGGTGGGGACTCGGCACTGCTTCAACCATGCATTCCATTTTCTCTCCTGCCCCCACCTCCCGCTCTATTTAAAACTAAGGCCAATGTCCGTACTCTCAAAAGCGGCAGAGAGTGTGCTGAAATCCTGTCTCCTTTCTCTGCCTTCCCCTCCTCTCTTTAGCTTCCATTTGTGGTGAGCGAGAGCGGCCCCTGGCGGGTGAAGCACCTGGAATGCGCTGGGGTCTAGAAGCAGGGCTGCAGGGAGGGTCTCCTTCGTGGTCTGCTTGGTGGGGGCCCCCGTCCTGGCCGCACTGCTTGACCTTGTCACTGCCAGGGCAGGAGGTTCCTCTTCCCCACGACCTCCACGGTGGCATCCACTGTTGTTTTCTTGACGGTTGTCAGTCTAACGGGGGCTCAGTGAAGTCTGACCGCATTTCCTCGATGGCTAAGGATATTGAACGTGACTCCGTGTGTCTATTCACCCCTTGTGCTTCCCTGTTCTGGGAACTCTCCGTGCAGCCCACGCTCCTGCTCATTCCTTGGGTTGTGGAAGGCTTGTTTCCCAGGCACAGGCAGGGCTTTGTCCCTCTGAGCTCTTAGGGTGTCCGGGCTACTGCTTTTAGGACCAAGGCTGAACTAAGGAGGGCACATTTGGCATTATTATTATTTTTTTTTCAGAAAGATTTCTAAGCCAGTGCTGGAAAGAAAAAGTCAGTGGCACATTTAGGGCCTTGGTGGTGTGTGATTTTTAGATCTGGGCTCCCTGGTGTTGGTCTTCACCCACGAGCGTTCACAGGGATGTTGAACACGTGGAAAAGAGCGCTCGCTGTAGCACTGGCCACGGACCCAGCTCATGGGGCTCACAGACCCCTGGGCAGGGGGGGGGCCATCACTGCAGAGTGGGTGACGGGTCTCCTCTCCTTCCCAATGAAATCACAGGACCTCAAAACCCACAGGTGGGAGGAGTTTCAGGTGTCTCCAGGCCAGGAGAGTCTGAGCAGGGATTCGCTTTACTAACACAGGACAGAGGAGAGGAAGATGGGAAATGAAGAAGGGAGAGGAAGCTGCTTTGCTCTCCACCCAGGAAATGGAAGTTAAGGATTCAAGACCTGCCAGCTGAGATCTAAGGATCAAAGTTCAAAGACAGCCCAGGCAAGAAAGTCCATAAAACTCTTATCTCTAATAACTACAAAAAAAAAAAAGTAAAAAGTAGAGCTGAGGCTCAAGTGTTAGAGTGCTAACCTTGAGCACAAAAGTTCAGGGGTAGCACCCAGGCCATGAGTTCAAGCCCCAGGGCTGGCACAAAAACAAACAAAAAAGCCAGTTCTTTTGCTTTCTTACTACTAGACAATGGTTCTGGTAGCTAAGAGGAGGTTACTGTTCTAAAACATGGGGATGTGACCTAGGCCCTCCCCAAACCCAGGGACAAGAGTTGACTTAATTTAAGACCCTGGGCCAGGCTTGCCCATCTGAGTCCTGTCTGGAGTAGATGTGGTGGGAGGGGCACGGTTTCAGGTTGTCTGTTTTTACTTCCTGCTGTTAATGTGTGAGTCTGGCTGTTTTACTATTTCTTCATTTTAATTTCCATGTCCCTTCTCTCACCTGTCTCAGAATTGGTCTGGAGGGTGCTGAGCTGTGGCTGGGCGGGGCTCTGCCCAGGAGTTAGGGTCTGCAGACAGTGTGAGGCGCAGCCCTTTCCCGGGAGCAGTCTGGGACTAGGAGAGCGGTTGTCCCTGTCCGGAGCCTGGCGCGGAAGGCCAGCTCCAGAGGGGATCCGTCCCAGGACCCAGGCTCGGGCACAGAAGGGCTCCCCGTGTCTGTGGGACATGGCCCTGTGTGTGTTGGCCTGCCCATTTTGGGGACCCTGGGTGAGAGTTCCTCCCGAGGGAAGGCTGCCAGGCCCTGCCGTGCTCCTGGAAGTGAGCTCTGCTGGGCAGACCTGCCCGGGAAGGGGACATCTTGGTGGAAGGCACTGGGGACACAGCCAGCTGGGTGCCTGCCGGCCACTTCACCTGGTGAGCTTGGCCTAGAACTGAGCACTGTGAGCCCTGGGGCCTCCTCCCCCTCCCCCCTCCTCCCCCCAGCCGGCCCTGCCTGAGAGCAGGATCCATGGAAGAGCTGATCCAGGAGCCTGGGGGTTCAGGCAACCTTCTGGGGACAGGGGCAGGGCCTTGCCTTCCAGGGTGTCAGCTTGCTGAGCCCCTGATGAGGTCCTAGGGTGGGAAAGGTCACCGCTTCCCAGATTCCTGACCCCTCCCCCACCCCCACCCCCAGCTGCCTGGGTTTCGGAGGCTTGCCCCTGGGCCTGTGGTGGTGGTGGTGGTGGTTGTTTGTGAAAGCTCCACCCCGGACATTGAGTGTGACTTCACCGAGCACCACACAGCCTGGAGAATAAGAGCTCTGCAAACCAGGGCTGGACCTGGAGCAGGCCAGACACGAGAGGACACAGCTGGAGGAAGGCCAGATCCAAGTGGGGGCCGTGACGCGGGACCGTGAGAGCAGATATCTGTGCACAGGGCACCAAGGGCAAATTTGGTACTTTCCTAAGTAAAATCAAAGAGTAACGCCAAACAGCTTGCATCTGTCATTCGTCCATCCACCCACCCACCTGTCCGTCCATCCATCATCCACTGCCCGAGGTAAGGAGGACTCAGGGGCTGCCCCTGCTTGGTCCAGGGTCCATTCAGCTTGGTTTGTGAGCTGGCTCTGTCCCCAGGCCAAGCACCACAATCCTAATCAGAAGGACGCCTGATAAATCCCTGCTGCGAGTCTGGGGTGGGGAGGTATTGTTAAGGCCTGCACACTTATTAACTTGTCTATTCTCTACAAACACAGATAAGCCAAGAATCTGCTGCTCCTCTTTTTCAAAGAGGAGGTGGGGAGGGAAGGGAGGAAGGCTCGGAGTCCTTGGGAACTGTGTCCCGGGAGGTGGCCCCACTGTTGGTGTTGGGAGGTCCTTGAGAGCTGAGGGAACCCAGCTGTCCCCAGCCAGGTGTCCCCAGCCAGCCGCCAGGGAGGCCAAACTGTTAGAGGCGGGAGTCAGGTTATTTGTACCCTAGCTAAAGGGCAGCCTGTGTCCCAAGGCCAGCCTCTCGCCATCTCGGTGTGCGGTCTCCGGCAGAGGTGCCCATTCTCGGGGGTCCCCAAAGCCGGACAGACCAGGCCCTGCCTGAGACCCCCCTCCCCATTCTGAGCTCCCCTCCCCTCCCCCACACCTACTTAGGAATGTGACTCTGACACAGCAGAGGCAGATAAGGAGGAGGAAGGTCACCGGGAGACCCATCCAGCCGGGTGGGGCGGAGCCTGGGCTGGGGACTCCTGATTGGAGGCTGGCTGCAGCTCTGCTAACCCGTGGAGAGTGGAGAGAGCCGGCAGCAGCTGCCCTGGCAGGTGAGGTCCTGAGCCTCCCTTCCTCTCACCCTTCCGGGACAGCGGCCACCAGCAGGAAGGTAAGCTCCGGGCTCCAGGCTCCGGCTGGCTGGGCGGACCCCAGAGGGACCCGCATGCAAGGTCCAGGGTCAGCTACAAAGAGATGCCAGATTTTGGGTTGCCCGATTTCCAGGAAGGGCTGTCTGGTGCTAGAAGTGGGTGGGGCTGATTTGTAGAGGTGGCAGATGTGTGTGTGTGTGTGTGTGTGTGTGTGTGTGTAAGTGTGTAAGTGTCCACGCTCTAGAATCCTCCCAGAGCCCTGGGCTCAGTGAGCCCACATAGAAAGAGGGGCTGGAAGCTAGACACTGGGGCTCTGGTGGAGGCCTACCACTTTCTGCCTGGTGATCTTTGGACTAGTGACTCTGTTCGCCCGTGCCTCAGTGTCTCCCTTGTGCAGGGAGTGGGCTGTGGATTCGCCTGGAGCGCACAGGGCCCTCTGCGGCGTCTGGGCCGTGGCAGTGTGCAGTGAAAAGCGGGACCCCGGGCCCACGTACCGGGAGGGCTGAGGCTTTGGAGCAGCACTGGCTGCAGCGGGACCGAGGGCTGCTCCAGGCCTGCCCCAGTTCCCCTGGTTTGTAGGGCAGTAAGGAGAGTGCCAGGGTCTGCCCAAAGCCCCTGTGGCTGGCCTGGAGGGAGTGTGTGTGGCGCAGGACCCCCGGGCAGGCTCAGGGAGGCCGGGTGTCAGCATCGGTGGTACCCGTGTTGTCAGCTCTGCGGAACAGATGCTCTCCCACCTACCCTGTTAGGGCCTCGCGCCCCTGTGACGGGCTCACCAGGACCCTCCTTCTGTGTCCCCTCCTCCGGTGAAGAGGGCTGCCCTGTCCTAAGGTGTGTTTCTTTGGTGATGGTTGTGGGGTTTGAACTCGCGGCCTCGTGGTCTCACTTGGTTCCCCACCCCCAGTCCCCTTCTGGGATATTTTTTTTTAATTTAATTTTATTTTATTTGTGAACATACTGTACAGAGGGGTTACAATTGCATGGGCAGGATAATGCGTACATTTCTGACCAAGCATTGCAGCCTCCTCCTTTGTTTACCCCTCCCATCCCTTCCCAGCCTCCCCCTCCCCCCATCCCAATCCTTCTCCTTCCCCCCTCCCCCCCA